AACTAATGACACCAGCGAATGCTGCACCCGACCATATTGAAGAAAACTGATAACTTAAACCCCGACCCTTGGGACTCCATTTGTCCCATGTTGTCCATTCGGTAGCTGCCAAGCTAAATGTGTTGAATTCAAAACCACCCCCATCTACTCTTAGAGGACAATCAGCCTTAACATGGCCGAGCTGACTACAAATGAAACACATCCTGGACTCCCTATGATTATAGTCACGACTCTAGTGACCCTCCTAACAACATCTGAAGCATCTAGAAACTATCATGCAACAAATATCTTAATGAGTTCGACCACACCTACTTTAAGATCCACGAGTCTCTCGATCTCCTGGACGAAAGTCAGTCATAATAGCCTTCTTGGCTTTTGCTACAGATACATGAACCTGATCATGTTCCCTTTTCCATTGTTGGGTTTCCAACTCCAACCCCTTTCCATGGTTGCCTCTATTAAACCAGAAGGATTCTTATGACTCGATATGCCCACGTGCTCCCGGATCTCAATCCTTAATATATCATGGTAGCGAGCCATCCTCATTTCCTATGTATTCGCATATTGCGGGCAAAGCAATGCTCTTTCTCTGAACTTAGCGGTGATCCCAACCACCGACTTTGTAGCCTGCTCAAGTGCTAAAAATTCTCAGACCAAATCCTTAACCTCAATTTCCAAACAAACTCTCTCTTGAATATGGTGACAAAATCCTCCCATGACCTAGGCTAGACCATATCGGGTTCGAGGTTCTATATAACCTTGCACCACACTTAGAGATGCAAACGGGGGCGGATATTGGCGGAGACTGCAATCCCCTTCCCCGAACCCGAAATCCGATAGCCACAACCATCCCCGTCCCCGACCCGCATAATCCCCGATGGATTCGGGTAAACAATTCCCCGCCGGGTATGGATAACCCATCAGATACTGTAAGGGTCGAATTGTTGTAATTAGTCGAAATGTATTTTGAACTCTTCGAATATTTTGTAATGTATTTTACTAGGGCACTTTTATTCGAAGCTTAAGTGTCTATGCCTTAGTACATTTTTTGTAAGCTTTTTGTTCCCTATAAATAGGGATATATACTAGAGTTAGATAAGAGTTTTTACAGACATGTCTATTGTACTCTATAAACATTCGAAAGCGTAATAGAGCTGAAACAAGATCATATTTACATCCGGTGTTCAATCTCTCATTCTTACCTGAATTCATACTCTGATTAATTCAATACTCGATTCTTTGATTCATCAGATACCCATTCTTATGGATCAAGACTAATTTAATTGGCTCAAGCTTAGCCTTTTTGTCAAGAAAACTTTAAAAAAGGTCCATTCTTATGGATCAAGACTAATTTAATTGGCTCAAGCTTAGCCTTTTTGTCAAGAAAACTTTAAAAAAGGCCAATGTTCAGTTTGTAATTAGCTCACAAGAATTGAAAAAGCTTAGATACTCAATTCTAAAATTTCATTTAGTTTATTCTAAATAAACTAGAAAGCACTCTTCTCAAGCACCATCAAAAATATAGAATCAACTTAAGCGGCTCTTTCCCTTATATATTTGTTTCCCTTCGTTTCTTTTATCTACTCGGCCAATGTAGGATTAGTATTCATATCTTTTAGCCTATAGTATTTATTAGAACACAAAACATTTATGTCTTCTTTATATACAAAAAAAAAATTCAGCATACATAAATCAAAGTATCAAACCATTTAGAATTCGTTCATAGCCAAGAATCGAAATATTTAGTGCCGACTATTGAGAGAGTAAATTAGTATTATTATTTGGAGTTCATGAATTAAACTATAAAGAAGTATTAAATTAATTATACATACATATATCTTTTCTTGCTAGTGTCACTAAAGGTTTTGGATTTTGTTATTTAGTATTACCAGACCCTTTTGCTCCAAGATATCTATTAAGATCTCTATTAATAATGTATAATCTTTAAATATCTCTCAATACTTTAATCAATAATATACAAATACTTAGTAGCTCGATAATCAAATTTAAATTTGTTTAACGTTAGTTTGAAACAAAAAAAAAAAGAATTAAAAATGACAAAGAAAGAGGAGGGAGTAAAGACATCCCACATTGCCTAGACAATAAAACAATCAGATGAGCTACCCTTATAAAAAGGATTCTCAAGGCATTACATTCTCAAGGCATATATATATATATATATATATATATATATATATATATATATATATATATATTCGGGTATTAAACGGGCGGATAGTCACATACCCGTCCCCGCCCTGTACCCGCTTCGGGTTTGAAAATTAAGCCTCGTCCCCGCTCCGTTACCCGTCAAGCCGGGGAATACCCGCCCCGTTCGGGTCGGATCCCCGCGGGTACCCGAATCCGCGGGTCAAATTTGCATCCCTAACAACACTTCCCTAACTCTATCGCGCAAAAGACACTCTGCAATTCTGACCTTGGCTTCCGCAGAACAAAAGCTGGCATGAAAAGTACTCTCCACATATTTAATCTAACGCATATTGATGATAGGCTCCCTCTTCCCAAAGAAACGAGGAGCTCCACAAGCATCAAACTCCCTGAAGGTAACCTCACGGATCCTGAGTCGACCGACCTCCCAATCAGCCCGAAGAACCCTAATTCGTTCGTACAACACTTAAATCAACTCGTTCCTGACATAACTAATCAAACCAAGCAGATCCTTTCTCACGAACCTCAAAATCTCTACAGCTATGATGTCACGAACATCCCTCTCACTCTGATCTAAATCTCCAACAAGAAAGGTCACCATCCTGAATCTGAAAAACGACAAGAGCAAATCAAACTAATGTATAAGGCTAACCCACTTTATGCATGCGCACCTACAAGTTTCCTAGTATTCCTGAAACACCCCCGACCCAAGTATAGATCATGTGATTTTAGTAGTACGGAACCAATACTACCTTCCACACCTATCCATACTTGTACTGAGTTGTAAAGCTAGAAATAGCAATTCTAAGCAACGGATTGCAGTGAGTTGTAAAGCTTATCATATAACGACATTGACCTTATGGGGAACAAGACTATACTAATTAAAATCTCCCCTATTATAGTTATGGTATTATACTCATGCAATTAAATTAGGATTAACTTCAATATGGAATTCAATCCAATTGAATTTGTGAGTCTCGGTTCATTATCAATTTATCACATATGATCGAACATGATACTGTTTTTCCTTACAAAACACATAAGCGATTTAAAACAATAAATGATAGCATCTAGAAAGGTCTCTTGATTTTATTTAAAACAACCTTGGACTTGAAGTGGAGTATTCATCCGTTTTTGTAATTATGTGAATCCAATTTGGTAATTATACATATTGTCTTAGTTGACTGAAGGAGATGATGCACAATGGTGAAATAGATCTCATAGCCGATGGGAACCATGGGAACTAGTTAACTGGTTGACATCGTAACAAATTTGTAAATATAATGACATTTTTGAGGAAAAAAAAACACAATGTCAAAATCGATTTTTTGGTTAACTTAGTGACTTTATTGCAATATAGGCAAATTGGTTACCAGAAGAACCTGTCATTTGATGTCATATTGTAACAAAATTGTAAATGTAATGACATAATTTCAAATAAAAGAAACACTCGGTGAATCGAAATTTTTGGTATACTTAATGACTTTATTGCAATTTGCTCTATTTCAAATGCAGGCCGTGGTGGCGACAATTTTTTGGTGCATTTGGAATTATAGAATTTTCACTATTTTTAGGAGGTAATACCTAGGAAATCCATTATTTTTGACGACATTGTTGATAGATCTTATTTTTGGATTTCCAATAGGGTTAGGAAAACTACACTTAGGCCCCGTTTGATACGCATCTTTCCAGGTCCAAACAGATCTTTCTAGCTGAATGGACCGGAAAGACTGTTTGATTTGCACAAAAAAAGGGTCTTTCCTGGTAAGATATGTATTTCCCAGAAAGCCCCAAAATCATATCTTTCTGGCTGAATGGGCTGGAAAGACAATTATGCACCAAACCCCGCCTCTTTCTTTCTTTCTTGGATTATTAATTTTTTTAAATAACTTTTTTAAATTTATTTTTTATTGAATTATTACTTTTTTTCATCATTCAGCACAATCAATCAGATGTACAATCAAACAGCATGGTTTTTTCCCAGTCAGAAAACTTTCCCAGACAGCACTTTACCAGACAGCACTTTCCCAGACAGAAACTATCAAACGGGACCTTAATTGAGTTAAATTGTTGCATAACCCAATTTTAGCGTCAATTTTTTTTGTAATGTGTATCTTTCTGCTTCTTGTTAATTTTTAAATAAAATTATGTTCCTTCCAAAAAAATGCCCTATTTGAAATGACTCAACTAAACTTAAATCCCGGTTCTATCTTTCTAAATTGACTTAGACTCGATTACTTTGGGTGAGCGATATTAAAGAATGTGCTTTAAAATATAAAAATGTATTTACATGCTTGTTATAACTTATAATTGTTAAAATCTTAAAAAAAATGACTTAGTTACTTTTAATAAAATATCAGTCGATATTCCGAGTTCCCCACACAATTTATTGTTGCACAATGTATGAGTTATATATATGGGTATACGTCCAGTTAAATATAATGGTTACATAAGTAATGTATACCTTCTCGCAAGCTTAGAAACTACTTCTTCTAACTATAGTTAATCCCTTTTTAAGAACACAGGTAATAGTTCTTCATGGCATAGACACATATGGATAGAGAAAATAGTATATATATACATTAAAAAAAAGTATGGGGCAATCAAGCAACACAATTATCGAACACCAAAAATAAAGTGAAACAAGCCTAAAAACACACACACACACACATACAGTTATCACGAAAACAGATAAATTGCAGCCTTCAGAGTTGAACTGATGTTAAAAGTAAAGTAGCCTAAAAATACACAGTTATCATAAAAATACTAGTGTTATAATATGTACCGAATATCGAACACCAAAAATAAAGGGAAACAAGACATTTCCATTTCCAGCCAGACAAACATTAGTAAATAGTAATATGTGATTGTAATAACAACACTATAACTCCACATTCAAGAGTGTATACAACTTGAGATTATTCCCTAATTCATCTTTTAACACTAAACTTAACACATTAAGTAACAACAATTTCACTACAAACACAACACAACATATATATGTAATATCTATATCAAACAAGACATTGATTTCACAAACTACATTTGACCTTCCAAGTATTCACAACTTCCAGCTCTTTCTAGATGCCAAGAATTCTCCTCTTTTCAAACCACGCCAATATCTTTTTACCATAAAGATTGCTTCTCATGGACGACATGTTGTCGGATATCACCTCTAGTAGACATTCGTACATGAACCCCTAAAAAGGATAAAATGGTCATTTACTCGCTCGCATTCACAAGAGTGTAAAAGGTTGAGAAATAAAGAAACAATTAACTAACCGTGGAAACGGTCAACGCTGACTGGATGACAAAGTTTGCATACGGATCCACAAGAAGCATTGAAGGATTTGGGCTTGTGATCAACTCCATAACAATTTGGCTTGAGATATCTTTTCCTGATGCGATTAAACATTTTTCAACCACATTACTCGCGTATTTGTTGCACGATAGATTTGCAAAATTCCCTTGAAGCTCCCTCACGAGGTGTGTAGTGAAGTCAAGTACATTCAGCCCCACCATGTGTTGCAGCACATAGTTTCTAGAAAAAAAAAAAAGTTTAGTCTTACGTTATGTTTGGTAGATTAACCGAAAAACTATATTTTTTTCTGAGTAGCTGATAAAATAATAATATTTAGTAAAATTTAGGAACATGAAAAGACTCGACGAGATTGATGGAACTAGACAAGAGATCTTGTCCCATAATGACTAAAAGATTTAGATAGACTGGACAAAAGATCCGGTCTCATCTTGTTCTGTATTGTTATACAAAACAATACATAACTTATACACGTCTTGTATAATAATACAGAAATGATTTAGCTAGATATACAAACCCGTAAGGATCTTCTGCTAGATGGAGCGCATCTGCTAAAATCTGAGAAACCAAACGGTTTCTAACTTCACCATGAGCATGCTCCACGCAAGCCTGCAGCACACAACAACCACTTCTATCTGTAGCAACTTGGAAACATTTATCTGCTATTTCATTCAAGATAGGCTGCCAAATGCAAGATTGATATTAGTCGAATTCGAAGAAAATTACTTTACATGTTAAAAAATTAAACACAATAATACCTCATTAACCTCACTAGGGAAATGAATCAAGCAATACTGAATAACATGATGACCATTTGGATCATTAGCCAATCTAGCGGCACCAGGGCGGAGAGCCGCCATTGCTAAGGCTATCTGATATGGGTCTGTCAAGTTCTCTAATAATTTCTGCATTGCTCTAGTCCTGCAAAATAGCAACAACATACTCATATGGTTCTCAAGATCACAATTAGATTAAGAAAAATAGGGAATAATTAAACGTACCCATGTGGATTCATACAAACAAGAACCATTTGAACTGGGACATCGGTCAGGGAAAGAAGTATCCGTAATTTGTGATCATCGTTGCAAACTGAAATGAGCTTCTGAACTAAGTAATTCCCGAACTGGTCTTTCATGAGATCGGTAATGGAGTCCAATACCTCATACAGAACCATTTCGATCTCTTCATTTGTTGGGTTTTCGAACTTTGATTGAAGTAATCGACAACCATTTTGATCCTGGGCTAGCGATAGGATCCTGCCCCTCAATTCTTTTAGCGACAAAAAGCTCAAAAGCTGGTGATTTCGAAATCTAGTTGAGATCAGATTATGATTATCGCTAACAGGTCTTGAAAAACTGGAGTTGTTAACGTTTATGGTGTTTGGAAGAAACGTTTCATCGAGAATTTGAGCAGATGAGTTTGATGAACAGAGGAAATATGGATTGAGTTGTTCCGTGTGGAGCAAGTCGGACGATTGGTCAAAGTCAAACCCAGAAGAACGAACCTCTCTGTTGCGCCACAGGGGTTGTTGCTGATGTTGACGAGGGTCCACCGTAAAGGGGTGAGCATGGCCCACACTGGAATAAATCCTTCGGTTACTGTTACCGGTGTTTCCACCTCTTAAACCACTATCGCTCCGAAAGGGATGAACGGAACCCTCGCCGATGCCGATCGGAGATCCAAAACCGCGAAATTCGCCGTGGAGATTCTCGGGGAGGAGCTTCGGGCTGTGGAGGTGAGTGGTGGGGGAGATATTGAGAGAAGAGAACGCACTACATACATCTTCATCCACATCGATTGAAGGAGGAAGAGAACTTGCTATCTGATCCCGATCGTACCCCGGCAAAACACCGGAATCGGTGAGAACCCCCGGCGAAAATGACTGAAAAGTACCTTCGTCTCCGGTTGCATAATGTTGCGGTGGGGTTTGTATTATGTTGTTATTTCTCTGAGGCTTCATTGCATCAAAAATCAACCAACCAAAAAGTTATTACAGACAAACTTTATGCGTTTGCTCCAGTTGAGGGAGGGTTTTTAATGGGGTTTTATAGGTGGGATCTTAGTTTGAAGAAATATATGTATTGATTGCTAATAAATATCATAAAAGAAAAAGGAGCGTTTCGGAAATTTGGAATATGTTGAAGAATTGGAATTGAACTATGATTTTTGCTTGATTAAATTGGTGTATGATGATGATGATTATGTGAGAGAAAGGGAGATTTTAGAGCGAGCGAGAGAGAGAGAGAGAGAGAGAGAGAGAGAGAGAGAGAGGTGGGGGTTGTATGCATGCAGTAAAGGGAAATATTTGCTCATGCGTGAAGGTGAAGGATAACCAATGGCCGGCGTCTGTCACCTTAAATCGGCAACTTCCGTCACCGTTTAGTGTGTGTTTGCAGGTCGTGCCATTCTTAAAGGTGGGTCCACATATTTGCAGAGGAAATATTTTCCACTTTCTGTCTATTTGCTCTTTCCTCGTTCCTTCAACATAAATTTATGTTGAGAACTTGAGATATTCATAAATATATTAGTATTTGTTTTCATTTTGATTATTTTTATGATATGATGACATGATATCTAACAAATTAATATTTTTTATATAGGGAATTGTGTTTTTAAGTTTTTATCTAAAAAATCATTATTTTACTAATATTATTATTATTATTTTCAGAAAAACCATTTATATTTCTTAAATTTTTTAGAAAACACACTTATATAAAAAAAATCAAAAAACATCATTTTTAAGAAAAATATTTTTTACTTATATACAACATAATTTCTAGACAAAATTGCAAAAATGATTCTTACAGTTGTCAAAATTATATGATTTTTGTCCAAAATTATATTATAGTGTAAAGTGGTCCGATTTTTGATACCTTGAATATTTTTTGTCCAAAAATGTTAACTTTAACAGGTTGACTGTTCACTCTTTCAAAATACCAATTTTATCCTGATCATTTCTGCAGCAAAACTACAATGACCATTTGTGCATTTCTTTATTTAATTTTTATTCATTTATTATACATTAATTCTTTTTAATTTTCTTTTTATTAGATCATTTTTTATTGTATTATTATATATTAACAAATGTTATTTTTAATATATAGTATTTATATAATAAAAAATATTTGTTTATTGTATTATGAGTTTATATTTAGTTAATTGTTTTTTAATTTGTTTTTAAGGGTTTATTTCTCTTTTGTTATATTATTATTTATTAATAAGTATTATTTTAAATATATAATCATTATTTATTAAAAAAAATTACTTTATTGTGTTATAATTTGTTTTTTAGTAGATTAGTTTTTTTATTGGATTATAAGTTATTAGCACTTACTTTTTAATATATAATATTTATATATTAATAAATATTATTTTCTTGTATTACTATTTTTTAATTGTTTATAATTTTGTTTTCATTGTTTTCTTTATTATTTTAAATCGAAAAACACAAAAAAATCTCACTCACCACACATCTCAAAATTTATTTTAAATATTTAGAAGATAACATATTTTGGACGACACCACCACCATCACCTAATTTGGCGGTGGTGGGATAGGTGAGATTTTTGTAAAAATAAATTAGGATGGTGGTAGTGTTATAAAAAAAGAATTAATCCAATAAAAAATAAAATTAAAAAAAAAACTAAAAGAAATTAATAGTTTAAAGACTAAACTGTACAAATGGTCTCTGTGGTTTGTTCAAAATTGTCACTTTCGTCCAAAAAAAATTTGGACTAGCACCAGAGGTCCAAAGTTTTCATTTTGTTGCTTGTTTGGTCCAATTTGTTCTGAATTTTTTCAAAATGACGGATTTGCCCCTCTTAATTTGATTTTCTCTTTTTTCTTAATTGTATTTCTGATTTTCAGATTTAAAAAAAAATAAAAAAATAAAATTAAATCTCTCTCCCTCTCTCTCTCCAGATCTATAATTTATTCCAAATCGAAAAGGTATTTCTCAGATATGAAAGTCGGTGTGCCCCAGAACAATATTACGATCAGTCTACCCAACCCATAGATTTCGACTGTGTATGTGTCTTTGACTGGAAACCTCCGCCTGCAAAACCTCCGCCTCTCTTAACTGCAAATCCCCTCTCACATCTTATTGATTCTGACTGTGTATGAGATTTCCATCGAGATCTTTGATTCTTACTCTCTCTAATTGGCAATTCGGTTTACCTGTAAAGTCTCTATTATCGCTATCAGCCCATCTCTCCCAATCTTCGTTCTTCTTCCCTCAAATGTAATCGATTTTAGGGTTACGTTTGTTTGAATTTGAAGAGTCGAAAACGTAGTCAATGGACAGAGCAAGTGTTCGACACCGTTCCAAATCTTCAAGAAGCTGGGATTGCAGAGTAGAAAGCTTCTTTCTTTGTTCGAAGTGAGTCACGAATATAAGTTTGAAGTACAAATTAGAGATATCGATACTCAAATCTTCAAGAAGCTTCATCAGGTTACCATTATGCCCCTCACCGTGAATATGTTGAACTATTGTTTGATTTATTTGAACCCTAACTCTACACCGTTATTTGATTTATGAACCCTATCTTTGTATGTGTATCTAGATTTGTGTACACTATTGTGGCTCGGTGGTAATTTATAGATACCTCCATTATGATTGAAGATGCTCTAGAAAACCTAGAACCATTACTAACCGTCAATGACTCCAAACACAACACTGTTTTGCTATTAAGAGCTTATTTGGGTGATCTTTACTCTTTATGGAAGCAAAGGATTGAAAAGAGAAAACTGTTTTAGTATATTACAGGATGTGACCATCGGAGGATTTGGTTCTAAGTGTCGAAGAAGGTGTTCTGATTCCAAGTCCTGAAACCGAGTTGATAATCGATCTGGTGGAAGATGTGATCAAGCAGAGTCAAGAATTGAACGAAGGTTTATGGGTGGATTTAGGTACCAGTTCTAGTGCAATAGTTATTGGAATCGGGAGGATTTTATGGATTAGGATTGAGAGAGAATGTGGGTTTGTGTGTTTAAGAGAGAGAGAAAGAGAGAGAGAGATTTCATTTTTATTTTTTTTGTTTTGTTATAAAAAATTATAAAAATAAAATAGAAAATGCCAATTTTCTTTTTTATTTTTTCTTTTAATAAAAAAAGTATTTAAATAATAAAAAAATGAAAAAGAAAAAATATAAGGGTAAAATAGTCATTATGAAAAAGTTAATAGAAAACTAGATCAAATTCGCAACAAAATGAAAAGTTTGGACCTCTGGTGCTAGTCCAAACCTTTTTGGACCAAAGTGGCAAATTTCAGCTAACCACAGGGACCATTTGTGCAGTTTTGTCTAGTTTAAATAAAACAAATCATTTTCGTCATCTATGTCTTCAAAATCTCCCTCTTCTTCATCTTCCTCCCTGGATCCCTCATTCTCGTCATTAGATATTTATCGTACGACTTTGTAGTTGAGGTTAGGCGCAGTCGTTCCACACGCGTTATAGTAAAGGGGTGACTCAAACCATTCAACCTGAAAGATTTCATCTGCTTCTGTTGAATCATAAAAGTGACCCTCTTGAACTTCAGCTACCGCAGCCCTCGAGAATCCGCAGTCAGATCTCCTTCAGCAACCGCACCCGAAGTCATCATCAACCGCAGTCACTCTTACTAACTAGATTACTTTATTTTTATTGTAATACTCTTTATTGTCCAGTATGCCTTGCATGGCTACTCTTAGAGATTTGATCCATGTAACTCCTGAGTCTATATAAAGGACTCAATCTTTCTGATTCAAAAATCAATCTTTCACATCTTCTACAATCTATCGCAACTTCTATGCTATCTAATATATCTCTCATCTCTATCTGATTACGCACCTTAAAATCTCTCCTTACTCTCAAAGTTCACTAGAACATTACTGAATATTATTACTCTTCGGAGCAAGTCATTCGTGACTTAATCACTAAGTTCGATCTCACTTACTAACTTGGTCTGAATGCATTCCATGTTATGAATCAACTTATGTGTATACTTGATATATCACCTGCTGTCATTTATATTCCTTACATTTCCGCAACTAACACTCTAACTATCTAACTCGTTAACTCTTTATTATTGTTGAGCTTTTAGATCCTTTGAGATAAACTATTCCGCAACTGTACTTGTTCTAACGTTTGTTCAAGTGTCTCAAGTTTTTCTCTCAACAATTGGTATCAGAGCCATAGTGGTTGCTTTTTGAAAACAAAATTCTGATTTTCAAAGGGCCTTCTATACCACTGAAGCACATTTCTTTAAAAAAAACTTAAAAAACAAGGAAAAATGGCACAAGCATTATCTCTGAATGTCTCCAACGGTGTTGGTGGTTCGAATCGAGCCCCAATACTGGTTGCAAATGAATATCATCATTGGTCTCAAATAATGGAAAGGTACTTAAGAAGACTTGGTAGAGATGTATGGCGATCCGTAGAAGAAGGACCACATGTCCCTGTTCTTACACCAATTCAAACTGATGACGCCACAGCCAAACTAGGAGGAGGACAACCAGTCATGAACCGTCCCACCAAGGATGATCTCGATAAAATGGAAAATGATGTTGTTGCTTTTTATGAAATCTCTTGTGGAGTTGCTCCTGACAACTTCGACATTATCATAAACTGCAAATCAGCAAAAGAGATCTGGGAAGTTCTCAAAAATTTGTACGAAGGTTCAGAATAAGCTCAAGACAAGAAGCTTACAACTGCACTCAATGAGTTCAACAACTTCAAAGCTCATACTGGCGAAAGTTTAGAAGACTCCTTTAAAAGGTTCAATCTGATAGTCACCAAGTTATCAAATGCTGGCACCATCCGCAACAACCATGAAACAAACCTTCAGTTTCTCAACGGTTTGGGAAGACATTGGACTACTGCTAAGATGATAGTCCAAGGGGATAAAAAGATTCATTCTTTGTCCCTCTACAAGCTCTACGGGGAACTGCAAGCACAAGAATCAACCGTACTCAAAGACTGTGC